GATAACCTCCAACTGATGGGGACCAAGATGATTTCTTGTCGAAAACCTTTTCAACCACAACCTTTTCGCATGATTCCCAGTTTTCTTTTGATGTGGTTATGCCAAGGTCTTCGGTAACTTTTTCGAAAATTTCGAACGAGCCATACTTACTTTGAGTTTTTGTAACTTTATCAACCTATAAATTTCATAAATAAATTATAAGTATGTAATATAAATTTTTTGAGTTGATATTAAGTAATTTACAGTCAATGCCTCTTCATCGAAACACTCATGATACAAAGTAATTGACTGTGGGTTTTTACTGAGAATTTTTGTAACGAAAAATTTTTTTGTGGAACAAAGATAATCCATTAGTATTCAGCTATTATAAAAAAGAGTAGAATTTAATATAAAATAAATACCTGATATATGGATTAAAAAATATGCATTCGGTATTGTCAAATATTGATATTTTTGTAGATTTTTCATTGCAAATAGAACAGGTTTTATTACAGCTACATTTAACATATTCCAATTCAATTCGCTTACATCTATGATTCAAAAACATTGGGTTATAATTATTATCTTTTGATAGATACAAACTAACATATTTAAGACTTTGATATTGTGAAGTAAGTTCTCCAATATCGACAAATGGGTTTCTATGTAATAATAAATCACGTTTTCTAACTTTCAAAGGAAGTGATTCATAAGAATTAGAAAAAAGTGTATAAAAAGTAAAGTTGGGTAGATTGACATAACATTTGTTTTTTAAACAATAAGCAAATGCGAATAGAACATTTCTGTCTTTAACATTACAAAAATAATGACCAATAACAAGTGAACCATTTTGAGGAGTATCATAACTATTTAATACGGGAATTCCAATACAAGGGGGAACACGTTTGATAGGTAGTACCTTGTTCATCATAAGTTGATTAGTTGTTGAATTAAAATCATTTTTATGAACTTTCAATTGAACGTCAAAGCTTGAAAGTAAAGAATCAAAATTTATGTCATAACCAACAACCATCCAACTGATTTTCAATTTAACTGAAAATTTACTAGAATTCTTTTGAATACAATGAATTATAAGTCTTGGTTCATCATCTTGCGGCCAAAAGATTTGACAATTAAAGAATTCATTATTTGTTTTTTCCTCATTAATTACTGTTGCAAAAATGTTACAATCTGCATCTTTATTCTGAAGAGTTTTTGAAATATTTGCATCCCACAATGTAAAGATTGCCGGTATACCACTTTCGAACGTACATTTGCAAGTTTCCGTTTTCGAATAAATGACCTTTTTTCCAAGCAAAACAAATATTTCTCGTTGTAATTCATCAGATAAAAGTTGAAAGATGTTGATTGGATTTCGAAAATCTATACACTCCCAATTGTTATAATCATCTAAAGACTTAGCCCAAGCTAGTTCATCGAAATTTTCAAGGCATTCAAGTTTGCCTCCGATGAATTTTAAACATTTTGATCTAAAATCCTTTAAATTATTTATTATATGATTGGTGCTACTTGATATTCCAACATCGACACTATTTGGAACACTTAAATTAATAGCAACATCATTTTCTTTTCCTATTGAATCTTCGGTTGATCTACTGGAATCATTAAGATAAATTCTACCACCCAAAATCACTTCGGTTGGTATGAATTGACCATAATCCTCAACAATTCGAATAAAGTATTCCGGCTTTTTTGATTTTATGGCCTCATTTATTCTCTCAAGAAATTCTTCAGTTAATATCAAATGATCCCTAACGTTAATATTCAGTGAGAATTTGCCGTAATTTCTATAATGATAAGTTGAATTTGTTTCCAATTTTGATTTGGTACTTTTCACTATTCCAGCCGATAATCCCAAATTTACAAAACTTTGCAATTTATTATTAATATTAAGGAATAAAGGTTTCGTCAACAAATCTTCAGTTTCGATTGAATTGAATTCCTCTTTATCTGAAACTTCATTAGCACCAAGTTTGCGTAAATCTCCACCTTTCATATTAAATAATTTATTACCTTTGGTCTTAATACCGTCACTAGTTATGGTACGGCCATAATTTAATTTGTGCTTTTCATTCAAATGTTCCCACAACTTTGAATGAGTTAAATATAAATTATATTCTTTACAATTTTGAACTATAATTTCTTTTAAGCGAAATTTTCCCTCGTCCGATTTTGATACTTTGAACATTTCATGAATATTCGGAGAAAATGACAATTTGTCATTAATGACCAATTCCTTACGAACCGTTGATAAATAATCATCAAGTTTTAAACGGGCTAAATTGGAATCCGATGTTGGATAGTATACTTTTACCAAAACTGGCTCTCCAAAATTTAAAAAAAATTTCATTTCCTCTTTTTTTTTTATTATTAATAAAAAATTTTCTTAAAAAAAAAAAAAAAAGGCTGAATTTTTTTGGGAAACGGGCTGAGTAGTACTCAGTTCGGTAAATTACGGAATGCTGTAACTGAAAATCGGAATAAATTCCGTATTTACTACGGCAAGCGCAACAAATGAATTGATTGGATAGGAATTTCGCTATTTAAGATTGTTGTACAATTTATTCGTCTACAAAATTCTATTGCGTCCAAAAAATCATTAACATAAACTTTTCGCCTTTCATTCTGTAATATCACCAAGTTTTTCAATTCCAAAAGATGTTAATTAATCGATATCATATTCTTTTAAGACTTTATACAATGAATTGTTAAGGAACATTTTGATAGAATCTTAAATATCAAAAATTTGATTATAAAGTTTAAGCTTTTGCCATAGAATTTTATAAATTTGTCTGTTTTTCGATGATAATGCCCATGACAAAATCCAATTCTAGATATATTTATTTTTTAATTTAAGATAAGGATTTCAAGATTTTAAAATAATTTCGTATTTTATCCTTATAGAGTTTTAAAAGCTTGTCAATTGAGTGTAGGCGAAGCTCTGTATATTATTAATAATAATTAACCTCTTTTTTATTAAAAAAAAATAAATACTACATATACTGAGAATTAAGTCCCAAAAATTTACGATTGCAAATAAAAGCATCTTATTTTTCTTTATGGCTTGTATATAAATTTATTATTAAAGGTTTTACACGCACTAAAGCCCTATCTAACATAATTGTCAAAGTATAATCCACCATATGATAAATTCAAAATTAAAATATACTTTAACATGACATGAAGTATTTAAGTAGTTGCATATCATGGTTAATTAAATATTATGAAAATTAAGTTATTTCATATGATTTAATTTTATACGAATTTACAATTAAAAACTAGGTTTCTGTTATTATTTAACGAACCATGTATTGAAGTCGAATACACGTAAAATGACTTTGATAATTTCAATAATTAAAATTTATCCTAAATTAGAAAAAAAAGTTGAAGCAATAAAGTTAAGGCTTAGCTTATCTTGTATATCTAATTTGTATATTAATTGTGAAAGTTAGTACATCCAAATATCAATTGATTTTTTAACCGAGATAAAAAAAAAAGATTGATTATGAATCATTACATGTGAGAAGAGAAATACATTTTATATAATTGAGATTTATCAATGCCCTCGAACTTTCTTAATTAAATTATTTTTCAGCAATTAACTTATAGATCTTTCAACAATTCAATTTCTTTCACAATTTCCTTTATCCACTCCTAGAAGAATAGTAAAACATGTTTGATTGGGATTAAACTGTAGCCATTGAAATGACCTAACAATCCTTAACAGGTTTAATTTAACTCAGGCTGACTCTTATAAATTTGGGTAGAGTTAGCGAAATTTTCGTCAAACATCAGAATCTTTATTCTGGACAGAAATATATTTTCGACTGGAGTTAAAATTAAACGTTTTAACGTTAATTCACATAGAGATTTGATTTTAATTTGAAGTGATACACTTTAAGTCATGATTAAATAATAATTTTTAACAATTAATGTTAAATTTAGTATTAATCTCGTGATCTAATTGACTATTATAATTACTTAAAATTAATGTATTCAAAATATTTACTTATTAACGTCTATTATTAATTATAAAAAAATTTTTGTTAAAGGATACAAAAATAGATTATTGATTGTTGGCACTTCGCATTTAATTTATTAAATTTTGTAAAAAAAACCGATGTAATGATTTGTATTATACAGTTTAATATTTGTAAATTCAAAATATATTTTTATTTTACTATAAATTAAATTTTATTTTCGTCTATAAAAAAGCCAATAAAAAAGATTTTTATCTAACAGAATAATTGAAAATTATTATCATATTATTATTAAGAAAAAATATTTTAGATTTATTTTATATAAATGACGCTTTGAATAAATCGGGGATTGTTACCAATTAATAATAAAGTACATTCAAAAATACTGAACGCTCAGTATTTTTACAATAAATATCATTTAAGACAACAATAAACAAACTAATTATATTTCTTTGATATTTAACCTAATTTATACTACTTGTTAGCAAATACAAATTGATAACCTTAACAGCGCTCAGTAACAAAGAGATCTTATCCATCAAAACGAAGTTTATTTTAAAAAATTTCTTTCCTAGAAATTCGATCACGGCATTTCCTTAAATTACAATTATAATGGTCGAGGCTGTTGGACGAGAAGGAAAATTTACATATCGTCACATCTAAGATTAGGTCCGATAAATCAGAAAAGTCTATAAATCTTAATAAAATAACATTGTCTTTAATAAATTTCCAAATTTTCAAAAAGATATTACGAAAACTCACACATTTCTTTATGTATATTTTTTTTATGATTTCTCTAAATAAATTCATTTTAAGCGATATTTTTTTGAAAGTTCTGCATGTCTGATTTGATTGACAGACTTTTAAAATGAGCGTTTGATTATAACATGTATAGATTTACATAAAAAAAATTAACTACTAATCCTTGAACTTGTTCATTTCAACAAAAGATTGAGCTGATATAACCCGAAAAAATTACCTCACTCCCAAAAATGTGGTAGAAGTGTTAATGATAAAACTCGCAAACCATTATTTTTATAATAAATGAATGAAATTACAAATTTAACTATATTGATCTGAAGAATATTTCAACATTAAAGATCAGATTATGTTTGTACTGTAGATTCGGATTCATGTTGACGCTGTTTAACATGCTTTGTCTTGTATTATTTGTCAACGGGAATTTCTTTGAATGATTTCTTCGCATGTTAACGACCCTAAGAACTTGATCTTTGCAAATTCCTTTCGGGATCGAAATTTTGCTCTTGTTCTTCCTGGATAACCTATCCAGTATTCGTTCTATAAATCATTTTGAAAAGAATTGCAAAAAGAAAATCATGAACGGCGTTAAAAAGAATAAATTCTAAGTTAAATGTGTGTTATAGCTGGCCAATCTTAACTAAATCTGAACAATTAAAAATCAAAAATCTTTATTTTATAACTAATTCTTATTTTATGAGAGACTAATAATCATCTATATCCTCTTGATGTGTACCTATTATAAGACGGATTCTGTCACGATCATGATTTCTTTATTATTTATTATTTGTAAATTATTTAATATTCGTAAAATAATCGAAGTCATAAAAAAACCGTTGAACGAAAATAGATAAATAAAGTTTTAGTGGGTTCCTCAAGCCAATCCCAACAACCTACTTTAATAATTCTAGATTTTAACAAAAAGTTATAGAATAGCTTGATTTATTCTTTGTCTGCATAGATAATTGTTAAAGTTGGAATGTTAGAAATTTTCTCATTCACAACATATGAAGTTCGTAAGATTTTAAGTTAATATGCATATAACATCTTATAATTCGTTTGTTATTTAATTATCCGAAGTTTAAATGAAAGAAATAAAAATGAGGGCATTCTTCATAAAAAAATAATTACAATGAACGATTCATTTGAAACTTAATTTATACAAAAATGATAAATATCTAATTAAATATCATTAATATTATGATCGTGTGTGAATATTCTTTCGACTGTTCAGTTTAATTTAATTTCTCAACAAATTAATAATGATTAGGTATATTCATTCATTTTTGCCACAAGTATACGTTCGCATAGATACACTATCTCGATCCCGTGACTTTTAATTGAAAACGAGTAATGAAATCATATAAATAACGAACAATTCAGGACAAAGATTCATGAATGTTCGAATATATTTTGGTAATTTATCTATCGTAGTTGTGTATAAATTCTTTTCTTGCATTTGAATAAAGAAATGATCGTTGTGACTTTTGCTGTAATAGTTGTGAAATCTTAGAAATAACTAAAGTAGGTTATTGATGTTAGCTGGAAGAAACCATTAAAAAGATAATCTGTTTTGAAAGTTACATAATTTCTTAAAGTATCCAAAATTTTTCTTCTGAAACACGAACGATCAACTAACAATATTTTATAATATCCATGAAAGCTTTCTACTTAAAGGAGTAACTTTTGTGCGACACTATTCCGTAGTACGCTCACTGATCGCATTGGTTATTGAATGAAAATTCAAAAAGGGCATGATAGTAGCGGCTTGAAGAAACATGTTCTCGTTTACATTAGATAAGTTTTCACCATTTGTAAAGAAGTAAAAATTAATTGATATTGGCATTCGGGAACTAGTTACAAGTGAAACTTTTATTTTTTTCATTGCGTATGAGAAAGAGTATTCCTCAGGTCAAAACACTAAAATTGCTGTTAATTAATATGTTTTGAAAATTTTTTAAGAAATACAAACTTTGATATTTAAATCAGGGAAAATTCTTTTTTGGCCGTTGTTAAAAGGACAAAAACAGATTTTAATAAAACGTAAAGTTTACTTAAGTTTATATAAATGATAAGGGTTAGGTTTATTGTACCACGTAAAGTGTTATAATTATTTCCTATGATAAAATGAAAGATTATTTACGGCTTATTTAATGTATAAATATGAACCGAATATAAAACCTAGAATCATCATGCCAAGGGAACGCAAAAAAGAAATAAAATATATAGCTTTGGTATATAATGAAGTTTTATATAATGAAAATCATAATTAATTCATTTGAAATTTTCCAATCAAAGTATATTTTTTTCGAATAGAACTCTTTTTTCAAAACAATTTATGGATCTCTTCATGTTATTTTTCGTAGAGCAAGTAATGTACAGTGAACTATTAGTTTGAATGTCATTTATTTCTAAACATGTTAGTAAATAATCGCGGATGTATTTATTAAATAAAAAGTTAACATGTTAAACAATTGAATAAAAAAAGAAATTTGGTGTATTTATCAATTAATTAGTCTCAGATATAGTAAAATTTGTAAAATTTATATTTAATTTATTATAAAAATATTATTTTTTTTTTAAAAAATCAATTGGTTATAATTTATTTATAATTATATGTAATTTTTATTTAAAAAAATATACTTGATTGAAATTAGCTGAAAGACAAATAGCAAATCGTAAAGCTAAAGCAGAAGTTGAAAAATTGGAATTAGAAAATATGAAATTACGTAAAGAATTAGCTTTATTTGACGAATTACGAATATTTGATTATAATAAAAATCTGATTACATAATTGTTGACAAATAATCGCATTGTTTTAAAATAAACAATAAATAATGGAGAATATTATAAATTTTTTAAAATTGGGCAACGATAAATATATTATAAATGCCTGTATGGATTTAAAATTTGAAAAAATCATACATGTATGGAAATCGTTAGTTTATAAAAAACCCACGTTCCATACATCCCATACGGTTTTCTGTAACACCCTAATTGGAACAGTTAGGATCTCAATTTCAGACACCCAAAAAGTATCTGAATTCCAAAAATCAAATTCAACACTGTTATAAAATTTATTGATTGATATTATGAAAGGATATAGTAGAATAGCTCAGTGCCGATCAATTCTTTTATTTATTAAAATATTAACAATCTTAATAGATTTTTATGTTATCTAGCATTTCATTCATAAATTTCTAAATTTTAAATAATGAAAAATAATAAATGTAAAGCTAATGAAGTTTAGAATTAATTAATTCTTCAGTATATTTCCATCATATTTCCATCTTGAGCTGCCGCAGATGCCGTAGATTTCTTTCCAATTTTACCAAATGGTTCGAAATATTGATTACGGTATTTTCAACAATTTCAGTGCTTGTGGAAGCATATTAAGGTGTTATAGCTCCATCTTCAGGTGATGAACTTTACTAAGATCATTTTTAATATTAATCAAATGAGACTTTATATATGTTTATTCCGTATATTTATTTCCAAATATGAATTGAAAGTTTATTAATTTTCTGGTTCAGAGAGCACGTTATAATTTTTCGATTATAAATATACACTAATAATAGTTAAACTGTAGAGTGACATAAATTTCATAAAATAAAGGTTTTGCTTCAACTTTTTCGCATGATATTAATACAAAAAATCTGTTAAAATATTAAATATGTAGAAAATACAATTGCAGCCGAAGGTAAATTAAATATCAATAAAATAAAGAAATAAATGATTTATTGATGTAGCTAAGACGCAATACTTATAATTTAAAATTTTCTAAATTTGTAATTTATTCTTTTAACTATAAGGTAGAAATTTGCTTAATTTAGTATGCATCATGCCGCCTCGTAATTATTAATAACTTGAATAATACAAAAAATACAGTAGAAATATAAAAATGAAAAAAATAACCTAAAAAATTGATATATTTTTATCTAATTAAATTAAAATTTTTTTTCAGTTTATAATTAAAAAATGTTTATCTTGTCCGAATCCATAACATTAAAGTGCTGTGCCTCAAATATTGCGGTACAATATGTATCACCATCATTATACTGTACTGTATACAAAATAATTTTTCAGGTTGAAAAAAATTATATTTTTTTTAAAGAACCTTTCTTTTACAAATAATTACGATGTCTGTCAGTGACAATAAAGGTAAAAAAAATAAAGAATAATAGAATGTCAAAAAAAAAAAAATAACCGAAAAAAGCTCTAAGCCATGAAGATCTAATAACTTTAATACTTTACTGTAATTCGTTAATTATACGTTTATTTACTAAAAATTTTAAAAATTTGAAATATAGAATTAGTTTCGAGTGATGAAGGTAAGTAAATATAATAGAAATATAAGAATTTAACAAATATTAATTTTGCTCAATTTTTGTTCAAAACATTAGAAGGATTTGTCGAAAATTTTCTCAACAATATTATGATAGAGCCAGTTTCGGACACTTCTTATGGTAATGAACATTTATTTGTTTAGAGTCAAATAATAATTTTTTATTTTTTATTTTTTTTTTAAAAAAATAAATAAAATAAAATAAAAATTGTAAATTAAATTCGCAGCATATAACTTCTACATAAGAAGATAAAAAAAGCATACATTAAACTAAATCTATTCTTGCTAATAGGACACAATAATATGGAATCACCAACCGCGTGGGGTATTGGACGTAATTTTTTAAAAATAGATTCAGACAAACTTATAGTGACTTATACAGGTGAGTTTTTACATTTCAAGTTATATAATAATTATAATTTTACTGTTTCGTATGGAATCACTATTCTTGCATAACTACAATTATTTTCAAATATAAAGGTCTGGGTGGAGATGAAAACTGTGCTGCAATTCGAGCAAATTTTCCAATTCCGGAACAATGTGGATTATTTTATTTTGAAATTGACATTATAGATAAAGGGGAAAATGGGTATGTTGTAAACTTTGAATCATATATAAGTTGATTGTTTAAAATTTGCCGATAATTATATTTTTCAAATTCAATAGGGAGATTGGAATCGGGTTTTGCACAAAATCAGCTAGCCTAAATAAAATGCCAGGTACTTTACTCTTATCTAATTTGTTAAATAAAACTATTTATTGAATTATTTATATTTTAGGCTGGGAAGATAGCTCGTGGGGTTATCATGGTGATGATGGAAAAAAGTTTTTTAACGCCGATGGCGAACCGTTTGGACCAAAATTTATGACCAGTGATACTATCGGATGTTGCTTAAACTTTATAAATAATACGGTATTTTATACAAGAAATGGAGTGAATCTAGGTATATTACAAATTCTTGTTTATTTTAAGTTAAATAATAGAAACTTAATTTCTATCGTATATTTTAAGGTATTGCATTTCAAGATTTGAAAGAAGCTTTGTATCCTTGTGTTGGAATGATGTCGCCAGGTGGATCCGTAGGAGCAAACTTTGGCTATAGAAAGTTCAAATATACAGGTATACTTATTGTTTATTTTTTTTTTATTTTCTGTATTAATATTAATTATTTTTTAGTGATGAATGATGATGATATTGATGAATCTTTAAAGGAGAATTGGGCTGTAATTCTTAACCCTTATAATAATAAATTAATAAGTCAACAGATTAATAGATTTACAGATTTAAAATTATCATCAGTAGCTGAACACATACTAAAATACCGAGGAAAGTTTTATTTTGTTTTAGGTGAATATGAACTAGCACTTTCAAATTTGATAAAATTGCTAGAGTTTGAGACAAATAATACATTTGCATTAAGATATCGAGGAGAAATTTTTTGTATGATAGAAAAATATGAGGAATCACTTGCAGATTTAAACAAATTACTAGAAATCCAACCAAACGATACATGGACGTTAAATGCTTGTGAAGAAGTTACTAGGATGTATGAATATAATAGTTTATTTATATTAATTATTAATATATATTCATTTAAATTATCTATATTTATAGGAGGTAACATTTTATTTTAAAATACATAATAAATTTATTTATTATATCAGAGAGTTGAGTATAAGAATAGTTTATGTTAAGGATTAAATTTAATAATTCTTTTCTAATTAATAAATTATCAAATTTTCAGCAAAGATTTAAATGGTAATAGATTATTTATAGCAATATGAATTGTAATATACATTTATGTATTTGCTAATAATTCATTATTAAAATAAATTGTTATTTATATTAATATTATTAGAACTATTTAATTTGTTAAATATTTTAACTTATTATCTAATTAAAATATAATTAAACCATAATTAAACCATTTAATTAAACAATATCTAATACCATAGGGAGTAAGTTATCTATAATTTTTATATTACAATTTAAACATAACTAATTTACTTTAAAAAAATTTTAATAGTAGTCGGTAAGCTATTTTTATGAAGTTATATTTAATTATAATTTTTATAATTATTTTAACTCTCCAAATTTTTATTTATAGAACATAAGTTATTTTTATTAATAATTGTTACTATAATATCAATCAAAAATGCTAATATAATATATTATTAATATTATAGAAAGTTAATATTTTAATTAATCAATTATACTTATTATTATACTTTCTTTTTATTGTAATAAAATTTAAATCCTTCTAAATTTTTTATTTAAAAAAATAATTAATTATAATAATATAATAGATGGTAAGTTATTTTATTGATTATCAGTATTTAATTATATTTTTTTACTGTAATTTAAATTTAACTAAATTTTTTATTTGAAAATCAAAAATATTATTAAAGAGCGTAAGTTATTTTTATTGATTATTAGTATTTAATTATAATTTTTACTGTAATTTAAACTCAATTAAATTTTTTATTAAAAATTATTATTAGTATTCAAATATACTTTTTACTGTTATTTAAACTTAACCAAATTTATTATTCAAATCAAAAAATTACTAAAGATCGTAAGTTATTCTTATTGATTATCAGTATTTAATTATACTTTTTACTGTAATTTAAACTCAAATAAATTTTTTATTTAAAAATCAAAAAATACTAAAGGGGGTAAGTTATTTTTATTGATTATTAGTATTTAATTATACTTTTTACTATAATTATACTTAACTAAATTTTTTATTTAAAAAATAATTTAAAATTTAAGATGGTATGTTATTTTTATTTATTATTCGTAATTTTTTTTAATATATAAAAAAATTTTATTTTTTAAAAATATGCAATAAATTTGTAAAATTAATTAATTATAATTAAATTTAATAAGTTTTATTTTAAAGTTAGAATAAAATCGTAATAATAATACTAATATAAAATATATATTTAGTAAAAAAGGAATTTGTTCAATTTGTAATACAAAAAATTCTGGATATAAATGATGTAAAGTATGTTATTCTAAATTATTTCAACAAAATTTTACTAATTGGATCAGTGAAAATAAATTTATTAATAAATTTATTCAAGAAATTCAACAGAATGCTAAAAATTCAAGGCAAATATTAGAATGGATTCCTTATAATAAATTATTAAATATTGAATTTCTTGATAAAGAAGGATTTAGCATTATATATAAAGCTACTTGGTTAGATGAATATATTGAATCTTATACATATAATGATAAAAATTGGATTAGAAATAAAGAAATAGAAGTATCACTTAAATGTTTTAATAATTCATCTAACTTAAATGAAAAATTTTTAAATGAAATATGAATTTATTATTTTAATTGATTTTATATATAATAATTTTTATAATTTTTAAATTAATTTTTATTATTTTAGTGGAAACATCATTATAATTGTTATAGTTAATTAAAAAAATATTCAGATGAAAATCTTATTCAATTATATGGATTTACACAAGATCCAAATACATTAAATTATATGATAGTAATGAAATATGCAAAAAATAGTAATTTAGGAAAGAATTTATTAGATATAGTTAAAGATAAATGGATTATAAAATTATTACAATTAAATAATATTATTAGTGGACTTGATGAAATACATCAAAAAGGTCTTATTCATTGTGATTTTCATCATGGCAATATTTTAAATATTGAAATCAATATTTTATCTATTAGTGATTTAGGATTATGTAAACCTGTAGAATATTTTCAATCATCTAAAAATAATGATATTTATGGTGTTTTACTATTTATAGCACCTGAAGTTTTAAGAGATTAACCTTATATTTTAGCTAGTGATATTTATAGCTTTTATATGATTATGTGGGAATTTATATATGGAATTCCTCCATTTAATAATGAAGCTCATGATTTTCAACTTAGCTTAAATATTTGCAAAGGTAAACGTCCTGAAATTATTAAAAATATTCAACAATGCTATATAAATTTAATGAAAAGATGTTGGGATATAGATCCATTAAAAAGATTAACTGCATCAGAAATTAAAGAGATTATTAAAGTTGGAAAGAAAATATCATTAATAAAGAATTTAAAAAAGAATTAAAGGATGATATTTTAGAATTTTATAAAGCAGATAAGGTATTAAAAAATATGAAAAATAATAATAATATTTATGATGAAAAAATTATTGTTAGATCATATCCACAAGCATATCATACTAGTCAATTACTTAATTTTACTAAAAGATTAAATGATATGTTAAATTTAGAAATTAGTTAAAGTATTGGTAATTATTATATTATATTAAATTTATAAAATATATTAATTTTAATAATTTCTTAAATTTCTTAATATTAATATATTTATTTAATTTAATAAAAACCTTAAATATTAAAAGTGTTGAAATAAAAGATTTAAATTATATTTAATTAAATATTTAATATATTAATTTATTTTATAAATAGTTAAAGAATTAATTATTTATTTGTATTTTATGGATATTTATTTAGTAACACTATATATAGAATATATTATTAAAAATATAGTTTGTAATTGTTAAAATAAAATTTATAAAAAATTAAAAGCAATTTTTTAATAATAGAAATAATATATTTATATATATAAGTTTGTTATTTATTACTACTAGTGATCAGAAGTTTTTTATTATCTTATATGAATAATGATATTTAAAGAAGAAAACAAATATTTTTTAAGTAAAAAAACACAAAGTTCTTAAAATACATAGTAAAAATAAAAATAGTGAGGTGTAATATGATGTTAATGTCAGAAATTGATCTTATTTTCACTGATTATTAATAACTAATGGAATGATGATATAATATTCGATGAATTCTTTTATCAACAAAAGTACTTCCACATAAATATACCAGTTCTTTCGGTAATTGCACTTATTTGATTGTCATTTACAAATTAACTAATAGCCAAGATCTACAGTACCATCACCCACCTATCTGTAAATTTTTTAATGAGTAATTAAATATAAATCATAGGTTTAAATTTATGTACCACCTGCTTTAAGATATGTTCTTGATCCCGTTTCATGCATTATATTGCAGCGGCTTCAGCTTTAGACAACACATTAAATGTAATTATCAAAAGGAAATATAATAATCATAAATTTACAAAATTAGTGAATATTCTAATAATTTCCCTTCTTACGGCTTGGTTACGGAATTCTTGGTGAAAATCAATTTCTTGCGGTTTGTATAACGGAAATGCTTACTATCGTTATGTCAAAAACGGGCATATTAACATATACATCCCGAGGAGTCCGAACTTGCATAAAGATTCGAAAAGTCAATTCCAACAGAAATGACAGCAAATTGATCGTCAATGCCACGGCAAATTCGGACGCTGTCAAATTCCGAGTGCGACACTTGAAAATCTGCAGGAAACGTAAGAATAACGTTTTTTAAATAACAATTACTATGCTGTTATAAACGTTATTGCCAATAGGATGAAAGACATATTTTCTTGTTGAGAATCGTTATTCCAGCTTTTATTTTGTCGGATAACCACCTTAATTATTGAAAATTTAGTTATTCCCAAGAAGTATTTAATACACCATATTTATAAAGAAACATTAAAGCCAATGAATTTAAATGTCCTCCTATGCTTCCAAATTTATTTTTCTTCAATTCATAACGATAAGAATCTTACGAATTGTATAAATTGCAATCGAAACATAAGATGGTCGTAATCTTTTTCAAATGCCTATAGATTTTATAAAATTTTCATTTAATTAAAAATATAACATTAGAAATTTACCGGCTTGAATAAGTAGATAATACAGTACCTATGTAGGTTAATCTTATTATTTTTACATTTCGAAGAAGTATATTCTTCTTAATATTTTCTAATTCGGGTCAATGAATAAATGAGTCAGAATCTGGATTCATAACCGATAAATATATCACAGGACGTAAAAAGGGTTTATTTATTGGAGGATTTCTAAATTCAAAGGACCAAAATTAAAATTTTAATTATGATTATTGGAAATGATTCTTTTTAATCATAAAATATATTCATAAATTTGTTTTAATTGTCTTCAAAAAAGTTTTGCAAATAAATTATGATTTCCATAGCAACCAATAAGTCGAAGCGAAATTGAATTGTATTTCGTAATTGAAATTTGATTGAGCCATATGATTGAATAATTCTTTAGAAGTTCCTTTGAAACAATTATTTTATCTTAAGAAACTATAAAATATATCTATCATATGAATGTTTAATAATGAATTCAATGAGCACGGAAGCATACCTCAAACATTCGATACATCGTCTTTGTAGAAGTCTTATAAACAATAATATATATAACCAAGTTCGTTGTTTTTGGGTCGCAACGTTTATAATTTCGATCTTGTCATTTTCCTGTAATAAAGAAATTCGTATGCTCCTGGAATCTTTTTTGGAATAATTTATTGTAACTATTTACGCAGCTGCATAATAATGCTCATACATAATACGTTATTCCTACTTCGTAAAAAAAATTTAAAATTTCTGTATAAATACTGATACTTTTCGGAACTTAAAGTGAAATTTCCATAAAGACTGTGAAGATTAGCCCTTAATTAAGGAGGGTTTTTAAAAAAATAACGGTTTTGCATAAAATGAATATTCGATAGGATACTATTATATTTGGCTGTAAGGTGATAGTTATTTCAACTGAACTGAATAAGTAGACGCGTTCAATAGGACCATCTTGTTGAGATATTAAAAATTTTGTTGGTTATTGTTATAGGAAAAGTTAAATTGTTAAAAAATATTTAGGAAATGGGTACAGCAAGTACTCGAACTCAGGACATGTTTACTGAGATACTCTTATATTATAAGCAACATGCCTAGAGCTGTTACCACTATACTAATTCAACATTGATGTTAATTTATATATAAATTCAAATAGTTTAAACTAAATTGCTGAACATGTGATATAATTCGCCACATTAGTCATGTGAGCGTGGCAAAGGAAAGCTCAATAATTAATTTAATAAATAAAAATAAGCTTATATTTAATTTTTGTAGAACGCGCCAGAATATATTTAGAATTAACATTTTCACATTTTGAGAAATTTTCTGTATGATACTTTCATTTTTTTTTATAATAATATATGTTTTAAAGTTAAATTTCCAGTCTACTGATTAAAAAAAAGATATACCCTTATCTTTCTTTATATTTATATAGTCTTTATAGATGATGCTTCAATGAAACTTGAAAATTATCTCAACAAGAACAATTCATACGTTCAAAAGTAGATGCGGTGGAAGCTGGTAAGGTAGTGACTATAAAACATTTGGTCAGATTTTCTTTCTAATAATTTGAAAATTATATAATAGGTGAGAAACTGAAGCAGAAGTGAAGCAGAAGAGGAGAAAGAAATTGATACATAAAATTTAGCAGAACCAGTCGATGTTCTGTTAAAATTATTTGAAGAATTCTATACCCGTTCATATTTCTTGTTTTGAAATATCATCATATATTCCTTTAGGGTACTACCAAATGGAAATATAAACTCTGGAGATCTTGTTAACAATCTGTAAGACACCGAGAATGTGAATAAAAGTTATTTTGATTTAGCTGCTGGCTGTCCTTGCAAAGGTGTGGAGTATTATGTAATTATTATTCACTTTAAAGTTAAGCGAATGTTATGAGGACCGGTATACATCAGAATCACAGTTAAATCAAAGTCCATGAATGGCTTGTCAGTGTATAAAAAAAATTACTATAGTTTCACCATAAAATGCTGAAATCAAATATTTAACTGAGATGATGGTGAAGGCTTCTGAGAAATGTTTTTAACCTGTTCGTAATTAGCTTTTGAAATATTGAGAACAATGATTGAAGTCATTGACGTAAAGACAATAAACAGGTTATTGAAGGGCTTAACGATATAAAAAAGGGAAAAGTCAAGGAATGTTATGAAAATGCCAAAGTAAATATAAAATTTGCTGCGAGAAAACGTTTGAAGTAGCAGCGAAGTTATTTTATCAAATTTCTTTCTATTAAACCCGGCAGAAAAGTAAGCAATTTTCATATATATATATTATTAAGATGATATGATATTTTATCGCACGGCCGTATAGGATCATGCTGAGGTTGTTTGACCAATATTTTTTTATACTATATAATATTTAGCATCAATAGCTAATCATCGTACAATATTGAATATTAGTAGATTATTTGCATTTTATAGTTAATTATATAGTTAAAGAATAAAAATATTTATTTTTATATTAATATCCATAATAATTAGCCTTTCTTAAATTTACTATGGAAAAATACACTAAAAAAGATTAATTACTTAGCTATAGTTAGTATCGATATATTGCAACGGCTTACATGAGATATTTGACCTTTGTAGTAATTAATTAATTTGAAAATAAGATACTTTAATATTTAAAAATATCATCACAGTTTGCGTTATAAGAAGTTGGAATTAACCACGTAAAAAAAAATGTAAATTATTAACACAAGGTAATAACATTCTTCTATCATTTCTTTTATTATATTCCTACTGCGGAATAATAATTTTAACTAAATTTTGCATTGGATAGCAGAAAATATTATTTTCTAGAGATTTAGAAATTAATAATATAGTAAGAATTTTTTTTATAAATGCTTTTATTTCGCATTGCATATTGGTTTGAGATAATGTTAAAGAATAATAGAAATCAAGAAAAAGAATTGTTAAGATTCGATAAGCCTTTTTTATGCAGCAGCATGATCATGTGAGCCGTACGATAATATAGATATTGTACGGTGATTATTTACATTGGTTAACGTCACGAAGTGACGTTAACCAATATAAATAACACACCGTACAATAACATAACGTATAATACGTGTTAATCTAAATTTCCAATTTCGATTTTATCAAAGCATTACATAATGATCAAAGGTTCCATCATTTTATTATATTTATATGTTTATATAATTACAAATAAATATCATTTCATTTGTATTTTCACAAGATTATTAGTTAAAAATTGTCTAAATTAATAAATATTTACACTATTAATGAAACATTTTAAATTACTGCATATGACTCAAAGCAAGACATTAAATAATATCTTAAAATTGGCGGTTCTAATGCGACTTTCGCATAAATTTTGTCACTGTTATGGCCAAATAAAAAAAAGGAAATTATTATGAATATAATCATCAATTGTGATATAATTTAAAATATTTATGTTATAGATATATAAGAACATTGTTCAAGACATAAGCTGACCACAATTGACTGTGAATTTGAGAAAGTTACTGACAAAAAACCTCCAAAAGCATAAAATACAAGCATCAACCTACACTATGAAAAAAACCCATACAGTTTTTGTGTAGTTTGTGCCAAAAAAAACATTACAATTTTCAGACTGTGCAGAGTGCCAAAACGTGAATAACCCTAGTACCTGTAATTTCAAATTTTTAGCACATTTTTCCTACAATATCTGAATTAGGAAATAACTGTACTAATCAATAAAGATTTGTATGATTATTTCCTAGCTTAAATTTATTATCATAGATAGTATTTTTGTCTGCTCTGCTAGTTTACTTTTAACTTTTTAAATATCAGTTTGTTATTATTTTGCAATATTTGTAAAAATTAATTAATCTAATTTACGCACTTTTAGTAATATAAAATTTTCCATACGTTGATAAAATACTAAACTATATAAAATCTGTATGTTTTAATTTTTCAATACAATTTCTGTACGATTATTTTTGTATGAAAAATTGAAATATCAGTATACACCAGTACGAAACCTGTACAACTCTTTTCATAGGGCTAGAATCATTTTTATATATATCTTAAACAAGTACATTAAACCTCCTCCACATCGGTTTTTAATAATGTAAAACGCACAACTATTTATTATTAATGGAGTAACATGCTTCCGTATTTCGGCATTACGAGGATACATAATGGCGTAAAATTGATAATTATTTCTCATTGATAATAAATAGCCAATTCATTTGATATCTTTCATCTATCAATTTTATGCAATATTGATTGTACGTGAAAATTTTTAATTCAGAAGAATTGTATTTTTGAATCGTTAGAAAATTTAATTAAATGAATTTTGTATATAGTAGAAAATTCTTTTATCATGATGCAGGTAATACAGATATAAATCATACACAAAAAAATTAGCAACCAAAACATAGTATTAGCAACCCAAACATAATTAAATAATCCTATTTTAAATTTAAACGCATCCTATATGCGCCATATCACATGAGTCTCCGAAAACATCTACCCACCATTTGTTATTCCCGGTAAACAAGCCTAGAACAACCAAAAGAATTGCTATGATAATACCGCAAATGAAATACCAAATATGAAGGATTTCATATAAATTGTATAAATTTCTTTCTCCTCTAATATGACATAAATAAGCTAAAGCACTGTTAAATGACCAGATGGAGCATATTATTGTTATATATTTGCTCCGACAAAAATATCCGACCGGGGGTGTGAAGTAGACGAGAAATACTGTTATCCAAGGATAAACTATGGATAATAAAGCAGTCATCGTAACCGTTGCACGTTTTGAGGTTCGAATTTCATCTGTCGAATAGCCATCTAAGTATATTTTTGTATTTTCAAACACTTTTTTAGGATCTTTAACCACCAGGATCCCTGAAAACCCTCTTTTCCATATTGCTGGAAATGTCCAGGACAATAATAATGGTATATATGCCCAACCCTCACAGACAATCGGTCCAGTCGTCATGGATATTCCTGCAGTCACTCCGACTACTATGTAGTATGCTGATACCAATGATGACAATCGTTCTAGAACAGATGCTTTTGCTGTGCATTGTTCTACGAATCTCATTATATGGCTATTTTTTTTTTGTTCAGCTTTATTGCATAAGCACCGAAAGGTCTATATTGTGGTTTTTGATACGATATTTCCATGTCCTTTTTCACTTTAAAATAATCTACCGAAAGCCAGTATATACAACGTGATACTTCTTTATTCCCAACGTTGAGGGAGTAAAACAATCCACTAAATGGACAGCCAAGACATCGCAATACCCAAGTGAACTTTTCTGTAAACTTGCTCATTGGAGATTCTCCAATTATTGCTATAGCAGGAAAACAACCTAATACGTATTGAGGTAATGGGTTTAGCAATTTACGCAGGATTTGCAATTCTTCAGCTGCCATTATTGATTGATGGAAATGGAAAGAAATAATAGATATCATAAAGAGCCAACACTTGATACATATATTTATATTTTTTTTTTAAAAAGATGAATTTGATAAAAACAAATTTTCGGTTAAATACGGCTTTTACTTATTTTGGTAGTTCTCAATAGATAAAAAAAAATATAAAAAAGATCAAATACAATTTCGACAAAATAAGTAATATGATAGTTCGGCAATTAGTATGATGATCGGTCCGGCCCTTGAATAAGCCATATTTTATAACTAGCCCCAACCGGTCCCGTATGATATATACTGTATACAAAATGGAAAAAAATTCTAGTAAATAGAAATCCATTAATGTATTAACATCGATTTTTTAAATTAATATCTGTTCTATTTGTTACATTTTTTTCTTAAAATTTACCTACGCCTTTTTTTTTAAAAAAAAAAAAATTAAATAAACCCAAATCAAATTTAAATAGAACCGTTTTAAATTTATAAAAACTTTATTGATGATTTCCTAAACTATATTTACGTCCTGTCTATTTAGATGATATCGGAACGAAGTGCCGTTGGTAAATCAAAATTTGATTGGTTGATTCTAGTGCTCCGTAAGGGTCGGGTCGGGTCGGGTTTGAAGCAAACTCGAACTCGAACCCGTTAATATTTACAAGACCC